CTTTGCCTTTGCTCACAAAAGTGCATTCACGCTTCCACAGTATGTTGAAACCCTTCAATGGAAACGGCTTTTCGTTAACAAAGGGAGCCTTTCTCCCCTCCCTCCTTCCACGTCTCAGTTCTTCACCAAGTCTTGGCTTCTTCAGCAGCTGCGCCTCCACCAGAAAGGACAAAAGGTGCAATTGTGCTGGGCGATGGCAGAGAAGATAAGGCCTTGGAGTTGTGTGTGGGCTGCTGGGGACTGCTTTCCTTCTGTGTTTGGTTTTGTCTTGTTTTTGTTATCCCAGAAGGTCGAGCACACCTTAAAAACAAACCAAATAGAGAGCTTTAGAGACCCTAACCCTTTATCCCAGGTGAACTCTTTCTTTCCTTTAAGCTGCTCCGTAGTGTTATGTGGGCCTCTCTGCCCCAATAAAAACAAATCTGATGGAGTCTCTTAAAACATGGGACAGGATACAGACCACAGACAGCAGCTGGATGGTTCGGTTTCTTTTTTCAGGCAGGCCTCCTGCCAGTGCCCTGCTGAGAGCAAGCGGGGAGAGGACAGGGGTGCAAATTAAGTTTCAGGACTTTTCTGAGTCACAGCTCCCAGCTCCAGGTAGATAGCCTTTCTGTCTGTCTGTCTTTACTTACTTAATTTGAATACAGCCTCCTTTATCTGCCTTTGCCTTTTCTGCTGTTTTATTTTTGACTCAAGTTTCTGGAGTATGGTGCTGATTCGAAGCATCATTTTCTTCTAGCAAAAATCTTTTAGTGCATCTGGTAGATTAAATGGGAAATCTGGTCTCTTTCAGGGAGACCATCTCTGTACAGGCACTAAGTTACCGCCGCCTGATTGAAGGGGCCTGGGCACACATGTATCTATCACAGGTACATGTTTCTCTACCCGTGGGGCTCCTTTTATCCTTTCAGCCTTGATTTGCTTCATTTTTATATCTTCAACCCACAGATCAATTTCTAAACAGAACGTCTGTCACACACATTACTCACTGGTGGCCCTTGAGTGTTTCTGAGCCCTCTCCAGAAGTAGGCATTTTGCCCCTGGGCAGGCTCAGCAGGAGGGAGAGGAGCCTGGAAGTCCACCCGAAGCTCTAGCTCTCCCCCAGCATTCGAATGTCAACCAACAACATTCTGATCTCTCTGAATGAGTAGAAAGAGAAGATGTTATGCTGGTTCAGCCAAACCCACGGCGTGGCAGGCACATTGCCACGATGACTCACTGCCCTGGAGCTGTCTCACGCCCTTTGTGAAACTAGGTCCCTGCTGGCTGGAGGGAGAAGGAGCCTCCTTAGGAGCAAAGTCACTCCTCAGGCACCTCCATGGGACGGCCTTCCTGGATCGGGTTTCAGTGCAGTCTGGGTCCTCAAACTTTGCTCACTCTCTGGGCCACATGTAGCTCTGGGGTTGTTTGTGCAGTCTTTGTTAGAATAACACACTGACAGCTCGGAGGTCTACCTGGGAGGAATTAGGGTGAGTGTCATGGTAACAGGTGTGCTCAGTGCCCCTCACCCCACGCCTCCCTTCTGCCAGGCAGCGGGAGGAAAAACCAGCTGCTGTTTTCTTTTCACCCTGGCCTCCCACACATCGCAGCATCCCCAGAATTTGTGGGTGCACCTCTCTCTTCAAGCTTGTGGGGTAAAACCATGAGGGTTTCTTCTAGGCTGCAAGAAAAATAAGAATAGGAAGCCACTGCTTTTTATTTTATTTATTTTTGTGTGAGATTATCCTGGAAAGCCTGTTTAAACTACAGATCCTTAGACCCAGGGTCAGAGGTTGAGCCCGTAAGTCTGGTGTTGGACTTGCATCTTACAAGTGATTCTGATAGAGACGGTGCTGTGAGCACAGACAGAGCCTAGTCTTATCTCCCCGCCTCTCTCTCTCTCATTATTCCAGCTTGTTCCACAAAACATTTGAGGTAGAATTAGACTAATTAGCAGATAACCCAAGTCCAGTATGAAACAGACACCACTATACCTTACTAAACACGTGGTTTTACACAGGATTCTAGTAGTCCTCTCATTCTGCTCAGTACGTCACAGATCGCCAATGAAAATGCGGTACAAATACCTGGCAGCTTCTATGAGGCCCTTCCCTTGCGTTGTTCTGTACATGGATGCATTTTCTAAAGTCAGAATGCCATCGTTCCAACACAGTCACTAAATGTTTACTGTAATTACTATGATTGTTACCCATGTTTTAGAATCTTGTCAGTATCAGAGCCTGTTGCCCTTGCTTGGCTAAGGACCGTGGACAGAAGCACCCGTCTCACTGTGGTCCACTTCTCTAAGATGTCATGTGACAGGGTTAGATACTTGCTGAGCTTGCGGTGCGGGCCCCCTCACTAGCCACGCTCGGTTGGAATCGGAACAGGTGTGTAGGGAGGTTAGTCCCTCCCCAAGCTGTGTGGGGCCACCACTTCAAGTGATACCGGAGGGAGAAGGTAGCATTTTTTTTCTTTTTTTTTTTACACATATCTTTATTGATTTCAGAGAGAGGAAAGGAAAGGGAGAGAAAGATAGAGATAGAAACATCAATGATGAGAGAGTCATTGATCGGCTGCCTCCTGCACCCCCCTAACTGGGGATCGAGCCCACAACCCAGGCATGTGCCCTGACTGGGAATCGAACCCCGATCACCTGGATCCTAGGTCGACGCTCAACCACTGAGCCACAGCCGGCTGGGCAGAAGGTAGCATTCTGATGCTTTTGATGATGCCCCTGGGACAGTGATGGTAGGACCCTCACCTCACTTGAGGCCCTGAGATCACTTCAGTCATGTACCAGACCATCCAGTAGCCACCAGTGTCATCTCTGGACAGGGGCCTTGGGCAGTGACTCGGCAGGCGTTAGTGTTTTCTCTGTGCTCGGGGCATTTTGTCTTCTGGGAAAGGCACCTACCGTGGTGTTCTGTACTTAATACTTTCAGTTTAATCATTTTATACCCCAAATGTATGTCTCTGTTGCTAACATATTTTATGTAAGATAAAGTTCAGTGTTAGCAAGTGGTATAGACTTTGAATGTAGATTTTACATATGTTGAATTTTTTATATCTTCGGCTTATTGTAATTGTGACATCTCTAATATGTTGGGGGGTTTTGCTTTAGATATTTAGGTTCCTTTTTTATACTTTCATAAAATTGTGGTAACATATACATAAAATTTACCGTTTAAACCATTTTTAAATGTGCAGTTCAGTAGAATTAAATACATTTACATTGCGCACCCATAGCCTCCACCCACCTCCAGACCTTTTTCATTTTCCCGAATGTGAGGTTCACCCGTGTCATAGCGTCAGCATCTTGGTCCTTTCTGAGGCTGAAAACTCTGCTGTGCGGATGGACCACATTGTTTGTCCGTTCGCACATGGACACGGGCTGTTCCCACCTTTGGGCTGTTGTGAGTAATGCTGCTGTGAACACTGGTGCACAGGTATCTGTTTGAGTCACATGGAAGCATGTGAATAGCGTGTAACATGAGCTGACGGTGTTAGCTGTGCGTGTGGGGTTAATGGGCAGGGCCGGCGCTAGAGGTTACTACAAACCGACTCCAGGTAGATCGCAGCTTTATCTGTGTCCAGGTTCTTCTGTGACTGGCAGGCAGTTNTTTTTTTTTTACACATATCTTTATTGATTTCAGAGAGAGGAAAGGAAAGGGAGAGAAAGATAGAGATAGAAACATCAATGATGAGAGAGTCATTGATCGGCTGCCTCCTGCACCCCCCTAACTGGGGATCGAGCCCACAACCCAGGCATGTGCCCTGACTGGGAATCGAACCCCGATCACCTGGATCCTAGGTCGACGCTCAACCACTGAGCCACAGCCGGCTGGGCAGAAGGTAGCATTCTGATGCTTTTGATGATGCCCCTGGGACAGTGATGGTAGGACCCTCACCTCACTTGAGGCCCTGAGATCACTTCAGTCATGTACCAGACCATCCAGTAGCCACCAGTGTCATCTCTGGACAGGGGCCTTGGGCAGTGACTCGGCAGGCGTTAGTGTTTTCTCTGTGCTCGGGGCATTTTGTCTTCTGGGAAAGGCACCTACCGTGGTGTTCTGTACTTAATACTTTCAGTTTAATCATTTTATACCCCAAATGTATGTCTCTGTTGCTAACATATTTTATGTAAGATAAAGTTCAGTGTTAGCAAGTGGTATAGACTTTGAATGTAGATTTTACATATGTTGAATTTTTTATATCTTCGGCTTATTGTAATTGTGACATCTCTAATATGTTGGGGGGTTTTGCTTTAGATATTTAGGTTCCTTTTTTATACTTTCATAAAATTGTGGTAACATATACATAAAATTTACCGTTTAAACCATTTTTAAATGTGCAGTTCAGTAGAATTAAATACATTTACATTGCGCACCCATAGCCTCCACCCACCTCCAGACCTTTTTCATTTTCCCGAATGTGAGGTTCACCCGTGTCATAGCGTCAGCATCTTGGTCCTTTCTGAGGCTGAAAACTCTGCTGTGCGGATGGACCACATTGTTTGTCCGTTCGCACATGGACACGGGCTGTTCCCACCTTTGGGCTGTTGTGAGTAATGCTGCTGTGAACACTGGTGCACAGGTATCTGTTTGAGTCACATGGAAGCATGTGAATAGCGTGTAACATGAGCTGACGGTGTTAGCTGTGCGTGTGGGGTTAATGGGCAGGGCCGGCGCTAGAGGTTACTACAAACCGACTCCAGGTAGATCGCAGCTTTATCTGTGTCCAGGTTCTTCTGTGACTGGCAGGCAGTTAGGATTTCACCACATTTTGGGTACAGCCAGTAAGAGTTTTATGAGCCAAATAGAATTTTAGCGGCTTTTTTATTTCATGTTATTACAACTTAAAACTGCTCAGTTAGGATATTCGGGATGTGTGTGTCCTTCATGCTTCTCTCCACATTCCCAGTTTCATTCAGTGGAGTGTATGTTACTTTAAAGTCAAGAAACAGTTTAAAAACTGGTTTATGTTGGGAAAATTGCTACCTTGACCCTCTTTTATTTTAGTCTTGGCCTAACTATGAGGATATCCATAAAAAAATGATTGAAGTTGCCACATTCTTAGACCTGCCTCGTTTCCCAGACGTAACAGAAGACTGCTACCTGCATCCCAGCGTCTTGTGCATGAAGTACCTGATGGAAGCCAACCTCCCTGGTAAGCAGAGGTGTCTGTGCTGAGGATGCGTCACCTTCCAGAATCCTAGTGAGCGCGTGTAGATTCTCTCACATCAAGACAAGCAGAGCCACCTGAGGGGCCGTAGCAACATGAAGCCTAACTTCACAGCCCTTCCTTAAAGCATCTCAGACCACTTAAAGTGGTGGAAAGGGCCCTTTTTAGAAACAGAGCTTTACTGTGGTGTGAGGCAATGCTTGAGAGCATGCATTCGGTTTTTACAGTAAGTTTACTGAGTGCAAGTAAAGTAACAAGTGTTTCGGGGTGTCATCAGTGACCTAGGTGCCCCCTCCAAGCAGCACTTTGTCATTTGCGTGAAGCATGATTATTATGAATGAATTCTAATTTTTTTTAAATCCCAGAAGCTAATTTATGGTAACGTCGTTGTTTGGAAACAATGCTATTTCCAGTCCCTAAAACAAATGGAGATCCAGTCTGGTTGGGTCACGTGACTCTAAGGCAGTGACACAGACTAGGAAAGAGCCTCGCTAGCCCTGTTCACACTGTACACGACACAGCTGCCCGACGGAATCTGCCCGTGGAATCCATTCTCGAATTTCCTGCTGAACTAGAAATGTGAGAAGTTCAGGACTTTCATTTTTAAGAGAAAATGCAACATGTGTGACTATACTGTTGCTTAACAATCTCCAGAATGTGATTGAAAAGGAAAATAGATGTAGAGAAAAGCAGTGTGTAAAACTGTATGTACAGTATCATTTTAATTATAAAATGAGCATAAATATGTAGTAACATATACACAAATGTAAATATTAAGTTTGTAACCTAAAAATATTTTAAGGGAACAAAAATAATTTAAACTTTTAAAATATATTATTGATTAAGCTAAGGACTGTATGTCTCTGTGGGGATTTCAGAAGTCACTACCTATCTGATTAAGGTTCCAGAATTCGGAGAGTCAGACTTCTGCATTGTGACGTACTGCGGAGAGCAGAATTCCTGCGAGTGACATTACACCCGTCATAATAGGCAGACAGACATCACTACCATCTGATATTTATTAAGTGCCTTTTTGGAGACAGTATTATAAAGAATGGGAACAGAGAAATTTTACTTCTCACAAATTGCTGAATAGAAATAATTTGAGATATAAAAAAAAATGTGTACATAGATGTTATTGACCTTATTTATAATACTGAAAATTCAGGAACAACATAAACACCTAGCAGAAAAGAAAAGGTTAGGTAAACGGTGGTGTGTCTCTTCGCGGAGCACTGTGCAGCTTTCAAAACCATGTTTGCAAAGGGCTCAGAGAAGCATGGGAAGTGTTTGTTACAATAAAACGTGAAAGGAGCCGAATTACAAAATCACATATAACAGCCACAGCTGCAGAAAGTGAAGTTAGAAGTAAATATACCGAATATTAAAGTGGTGTTTCTAAGTTACGGTTATGCATTTTCCCTCCCTCCTGCCTTCCTGTGCCTTACGAGTGGCCCGTATTGAGGCCGTAGTACTTAGTAGAGGGGGAAACGCAGAATAGACCTACAGATCAAGATGTGCTCGTCCCTGCGCCTTAGGCTTTAGGTTCTAAACTGGGACATTGGTTTGCAAACCACGATAAGATTATAGGGAGACCTCTAGGATGCCTCTGTTTTCAAATGTGCAGGTTTTGCTGCCTATAGTGTCAAAAAGGCGAGACCCGAGCATCTGGCACTTCTGCAGCCCTTCCGGGGTTTCCAGCAGCTGAGGGTAGCTGGTTGTCAGCACGCTGTGGCCGCAGCCGGCCCTCCCCAGAGCCTTGCCTGGCTGTGTCCCTGGAGCAGGCAGCGAGCTTTCATCTGCCTGTCACACCCTTGCTGAGTAAGCACTGGCTCTTCGGTGGCTTTGAACGGACTCCAACCCGGTTTTTTCGTCTTGTTCCTCAGCCTGAGGCTGCCCTGCCTGCTCAACAGAATTTCTGGCAGCTTCCATAGTCCCGTGCATGATCTGTGGAGAGTTAGGGTTTCCAAAGGGCCTCCATGTGCATTACCTCACTTACCATGAGACCCGCGAGGCTCAGCGACCCTGAGCTGGCGGGGGGCGCCGTCCTCTCACAGGACGCTCTGGCTCAGAACCCGCGCCCCTTAGTTTCCCTCCTTCCGCTTCCTCCCTCATCGGTCCTTCCAGTTGATTTTTTATTACTCTGTACTCTCGGTGTAAGGGAATCAGTTCAAGATAGTAATTTAAAAGAAGTAGAGGAGACAGCCTTCAAGACATGTCATTCTTTATAGTAACAGTACCATGGTTCCAGTTTTTAAATTATCTGAGAAGAGGCTATAGCCTCTATAACCCAACACAGATAATACATAAACCTTTAGTGACTACGTTAAAATGAGTTTTTCATATTTTAAGTGCGCGTGTTTGAAGGCAGGAGTCCCATCTGTTCCTTAGTTGTCTGGCCTCCTCCCTATAGCAGTCTCTTTAGCGCAGTGGGTGCTCAGTAATGCTTGTTGAACGAGCTAAATGGATCTGCTAACCGTTTTGCGCCTGAATGAATTCCATGAATATTCAGATGGAATCTGTGAGTTGAAGTAACCTTAACAATAATAAATCCAAATTCAGGATCTGGCCCTGCCTCCCTCTCCACTTCAGCCTGCGGCCCTGACTTGTACTGTTTGCATTTCCCCAAAACACCATCTCATCTCTGTCCTAGTCCTGATCCTAGTGAATCCTAATTACTTAAATGTTTCTAAACAATGAGCTCCTGAGGAAAAGGGCTGTGTCTTTCTTTACCTTTGATATCCAGAACATAGTAGTTACTCAGTAAGTGTTTTTTGAAGGACTGAGTAAAAGCCCGGTCAGAAGTTTAGCTGTTGTTAGAATCTAGTAGACAGATATATAAAAATTCTTTGACGCATATTTTAAATAATTGCAGCACCATGTTTTAAGATGAAGCTTGTCGTGTGGACAAACACTAGTTCGCCAAAGGATTTACTTCATGTTTTACTGTTTCCTTCAACAGATGAGATGTACGACTTCACCTGCCAGGTGGTAAAAGTGGCTGGGATAGGAGAAGTGGATTTTCTGACATTCGATCCCATAGTTAAAAAGGAAAGAACTGTTAAATATGACGTACAAGCTGTAGCTGTCATTGTGATAGTATTGAAGCTGCTCTTTTTATTGGATGACAGTTTAGAATGGTAAGCGTTACTGGTTTTATGGGGGAAACCGCATCGTTTTTACCTCATTATGGGCAGTGAAGGGCTCCGTGGGTTGTCTGCCTAGAGAACCGAGACTCAGCTGTTACAACAGGCACTGCCTGGCAGCAGTCACTTCTTACGTAATAGCTGACGCAGCTGGTTGTCAGAGGGCTCACCCTACCTTAGTAAGTTGTTTGTATCACGTTTTATTCCTAGTTTTTAGGTAGATACTCGTTTCTCATTGTTCCAGGGGTGCCTGAGTTTTAATCATCCCCACAAATCCTAAGGAACCATTCAGCCCTCCATCTGGGTGCCCGTAGGCTCCTGGCACTGTGGCCTCAAAGATTCTTTTGGAAACTACAGGAATTTTAAAAGGTTCTCCCTCCCAAGTACCGATGGAGAGTGGCAGTATTTTCGGTGTCCTCCCGTCTCAGCGACGGCCTCTCCGTCAACGCTGCCATCAGTTTCAAGGACTGTTACGTCCTTTCAGAAAAATTCAAAATTTCACTGTCTTCAAATTGGTGACTTCTAAATAAATTGACTTGTTTCTTGGTGCCTTCAGGTCTTTGTCTGCTATTGCTGAGACATACAATGAAGAGAACAAAGAAGGTACTTAATTTTTTTATCAATCAAGTTAAAGATAAACCGTCAAAAGATGCAATAAATTCAGGGTAGAAACTTTGAAAATATACAGGTACACACATATGTGTGTATAAACTGCTCCTTGTACCAGGATTGCTTTTCCGTGGTTATGGAGCTCTGTCTCTAGGCTACTGAACAGCTTCAGTGACTGCCTGCTGGAGCCAAGGCCCTTGGTCCACTCCCAGCTTCCCGCTGCCGCACCAGACCAGGGCCTGCGGGCAGCGCTGTGGGTGCCGTCTGTTCTGGTGCCTTCAGCCTCTGCTCACACTTGGTCTTCTCCCCGAAACCGCTTTCCTTCTTACTCCCAAACCCTCCAGACCCTGGCAAACCTGTCTTCATCCTCAAGATGCGACACACACGCTCTCTCCCACCTTCTCACATCTGCTCCCTGTCACCTTTTTTTTTTTTAATTGATTTCAGAGAGAGGAAAGAAGAGGGGGAGAGAGAGCTAGAAACATCAATGATGAGAGTCATTGATCGGCTGCAACCCGCAACCTGGGCATGTGCCCTGACCGGGAATCAAACCCCGATCGCCTGGATCCTAGGTCGACGCTCAACAGCTGAGCCACGCCCGGCCGGGCCCCTGTCACCTTTTTAAGTCAGAACTAATCATGCCCCCAACAGCCACTCCCACCCAGAGCTGTTAGATGTTTAGACACTGAATTGTGACCAGTGGATGGAGCATGTCTGTCCCTGTTGGACGGTCTTTGTTTGAGCTGCGTAGAGGACTTTGGCTCATAGTAAGCACTATGTAAGTCACACATGACAGGACGGATCTTCCAGAGAGAGGGGCTGTATCCTTCCTTCTTTTTTTTAAAATGTGTGTTTGGTGCCTCCCTGGGGACTGGCCTAAGAAAACTCAGTGGAGTTTGATAAATATGTGAATTCTTAAATTCAGTTCCAGGTTCTCAGTGTTCCTACCAGGATGAATGTATGCTGTCCTTTTCAATTTCAGCTTTTTTGAGGGGTGGCTGATGTGCTGATTTGAGGCACATACCCATTGTGAGAGGATTCCTGCTGTCTCGACAGCCAGCACATTCATTGCCTCGCACAGCTCTTTTTTTTGGGGGGGGGG